CGCCGCTGAAGAAAGCCACGCGAGAGAGAGAGATCGGAGGAGAGAAGCCTCGCTCTGAGGGGGGGTTTCGCTGCTGCCGCCAGAGGGAAAAGGGGGAGTTCTGCACACCGAAACCCTAGGGCACAAAGGGGGTTTTTATAGCCGAACGAGACAGGCTGGCGACAGCTGTCGCCAGCCACGCGAGCATTCAGCTCGACGCGAGGGGTGCGTTCGCTGAGGGTTGCGTTCGCCCGAGGGGTGTGTTCGCTCGAGGGGTGCGTTCGCTCGAGGGGTACGTTCGTTCGTCGAAGGGTCGCGTTTGTCGAACATCGAGGGTCGCGTTCGTCGCCAGGGCTCGAGCCCGCCTCCATCTTCGCCTGCGCTCATCCTGGAGCTCGTCGGAGCTCCTCCGCCGGAGGTTGGTATCCACCCCAACTAACAGATTTGCCTCGCTTGTTCCCTCTGGTTGAATTTCTACCTCTTGACTATGTTTGCAATACTGAAGAGGTTGTAGCTTCACCCGTTTCTCTCCGTCGGATCTCCTCACTGAGAACCAAATCACGAACGTCGTCGAACTTCTTCCTGGAATCTTTTCCAGTTTTAACACGTCATCTTCCAACAGGGATCTGATGAAGTGGTACCGAAGCGCAATATGCTTCGTTCTAGAATGAAATGCTGAATTCTTCGCCAAGTGTATCGCACTCTGGCTGTCACTGTGCAAGACATTCTTCTCTTGTTTGAATCCCAGCTCTGTCAACAAACCCTGAAGCCATATCATCTCTTTACTGGCTTCAGTGACTGCAACGTACTCAGCTTCTGTAGTGGATAGGGTAACGATCTTCTGTACCTATGACATCCAACTAACAGCTGTAGTTCCAACGGTGAATGCATAGCCGGTGGTGCTTCTTCGGTGATCAACTTCGCCACCGAAGTCTGCATCTACGTACCCTTGCACTTCTACCTCTCCCTTACCAAAGTGCAAACACTTCTGTGTGGTGCCTCGTAGATATCTCAGAATCCACTTGACCGCTTCCCAATGAGCTTTTCCTGGATTCGACATAAACCGGCTGACCACTCCCACTGCATGGCCAATGTCTGGTCTCGTACAGACCATTGCGTACATCAAGCTTCCGATAGCTGAGGCGTAAGGAACCTGAGCCATACTCTCTTTCTCTTCTTCTGACTGAGGAGACTGATCCTTCGATAAACGAAAATGGCTGGCCAAGGGTGTGCTCACAGGCTTGGCGTCGCCCATATTGAATTAACGAGGTTCGGCAACTGCCTACGTCCTCGGGAGCCACACAGATAATTTCTTATTAATCTCAAACAAGAAATTACAAGTCAAGAGCAAATCCCTAAACTGGGATTTCTCAAATTGAACACTGTAGCTACAGTGTTAATATTAAAGAGAATAATCCCTTTCAAATCTCACTTGAGATTAAATAATAACCCCACAATATAAAACCCCTCTTTTATACTCTCTCCTCAATCCTTTTCTTAAACTCCCCTCAAACAATTGAGAGCTGGAGTTAAATGACAAAAAAATCGCTGCTGCGATTTGGGTCCGACGCCGCCGCTGAAGAAAGCCACGCGAGAGAGAGAGATCGGAGGAGAGAAGCCTCGCTCTGAGGGGGGGTTTCGCTGCTGCCGCCAGAGGGAAAAGGGGGAGTTCTGCACACCGAAACCCTAGGGCACAAAGGGGGTTTTTTATAGCCGAACGAGACATGGCGACAGCTGTCGCCAGCCACGCGAGCATTCAGCTCGACGCGAGGGGTGCGTTCGCTGAGGGTTGCGTTCGCCCGAGGGGTGCGTTCGCTCGAGGGGTGCGTTCGCTCGAGGGGTGCGTTCGTTCGTCGAAGGGTCGCGTTTGTCGAACATCGAGGGTCGCGTTCGTCGCCAGGGCTCGAGCCCGCCTCCATCTTCGCCTGCGCTCATCCTGGAGCTCGTCGGAGCTCCTCCGCCGGAGGTTGGTATCCACCCCAACTAACAGATTTGCCTCGCTTGTTCCCTCTGGTTGAATTTCTACCTCTTGACTATGTTTGCAATACTGAAGAGGTTGTAGCTTCACCCGACTCTTTTCGTCAGATCTCCTTACTGAGAACCAGATCACGAACATCATCGAACTTCAACTTGTTGCTTCCTGACGAGCTACTCACAGCTGTGATTGTAGCATTCCAACTTTTTGGTAGAGGAGACAAAAAGATCAACGCTCGAACTTTCTCACCAAACTCAATTTCAACTGAACTCAATTGGGTTATGACCGTGTTGAGTTCGTTGAGGTATTGTGCTACTGACGCGCCTTTCGCCATTCTCAGATTGAATAATCGCCTCATCAAATAAACTTTGTTCGCGGCTGATGGCTTCTCATACATATTTGAGAGTGCTGCCATAAGACCCACCGTGGTCTTATCCTTCACAATATTGAACGTAACATTACGAGTTAACGTCAATCTGATAACTCCGAGGGCTTGTCTGTCTAGAAGGTTCCGCTCATCATCCTTCATAGAATCCGGCTTCTTCCCCGAGAGGGGTTAATACAGATAATCCTCTATCTGTATTTTCTAGAATCCGAAATATGTTTCATCAAACTTCTCTAATCTCACTTTTCCTTCATCTGCGACCATCGCTCCCATTTGAATCTAACTTCCTCTAGTTCGTTTTAAGCTTTGATATCAGTTGTTGGGAAATACTCGGAGCTATGCTAAACCTCTAAAACTAAAAAAACACAGTAGAGAAAAGTACACTAAGATTTAAAGAGGTTCGGCAAACTTGCCTACGTCCTCGGGAGCCACACAATTAATATCTTATAAATCAAAGAAATTATAATGTAAGAGCAGATCTCAAACTTGAGATCTCTCAACAAATAACAAATCGTTATTGTAGCTACAGTAATAACCCTCTTTAATTTCTTCTTAAATTCCCCCTCAATAAATTCCCTTTTCTTAAATTCCTTCCTCACAAATTACGTGAGCTGAAGAAAAAAAGACAGAGAAGAAGAGAAAAGGGAGCGGGCGCCGCCAGGGGAAAATCGCGAGAGAGAGAGGAGGAGAAGCTGCCATCGAATCTCGTGCTCGGGGGTTTCCCTTTTATAGGAAAACCCTAACGACAGCTAGCGACAGCCTGTCGCCAGCCATGCGTGCGCTCA